GATACCACATTTTCTTAATCCATTCATCAGTGGTGGGGCATCTTGGCTGTTTCCATAACTTGGCTATTGTAAATAGTGCTGCAATAAACATGGGTGTGCAGGTGCCTCTGGAGTAACCTGTGTCACAGTCTGTTGGGTATATCCCCAAGAGTGGTATTGCTGGATCAAATGGTAGATCAATGTCTAGCTTTTTAAGTAGCCTCCAAATTTTTTTCCAGAGTGGTTGTACTAGTTTACATTCCCACCAACAGTGTAAGAGGGTTCCTTTTAACCCGAATCCTCGCCAACACCTGTTGTTGGTGGTGAGCAACCATCCCTTTACAGCATACAAGTTTTCCTACAATAGAAGTTCCTAGAAATTCAAAATGCTGATCTAAAATTATGTATATATTCATAGACCTTTTCATCCCTTTGCTATCCTTATGTACTTAAAAAACCCTAAACAATTGTATCTATTTATTTATTTTTTTTTTTTTTGGCAGTACTGGGGCTTGAACTCACACTTACTAGTCAGGAACTCTGTGAGTCACTTATCCAGCCCTTTTTGGTGATAGGTTTTTTTCTGAGATGGGATCTGGCAAACTATTTGCCCAAAGCTGGCCTTGAAGAGATCTCCTGATCTCTGTCTCCTGAGTAGCTAGGATTAATAGGTGTGAGCCACCAGCCCCTGGCCCTAAACAATTTTAGTTATTTGCATTTTTAAATTGTGTGTTCATAGAGTTTTTAGAATACATAAATATTTTATGGGTAAGTCCCCTTATTTTTCTTTTTTTAAAACTTCAGTTATCCCTATTAATTTCCTGTTTCAAATGAACTTGAGAATCTTTTGATTTCAATCCCCAAATATGCCATTGGGAGTTTTACTGGCATTATCTGACACTGGGTTTATGTCTGGAAAGGACTTTCTGGTTTGTCGATGTTAATCTTCCCAGCCAGAAAAATAACACTTCTTCAAAACAAAAAATAACATTTCTTCAAGCTTTGTTTTGCACAGTTTTCTTCATACCATGGTGGCTTAATTTTCTGTAAAATTTATTATTTAAACTGTCACTTTTTGAGTGGGATATTTTCTCCATTCTCTCTGATTGTTTATTTCTGACATAGGGTTTTTTTTTTTTCCAGTACTGAGATTTGAACTCAGGGCTTCATGTTTGCTAGGCAGGTGCTCTACCACTTGAGCTTCTCAGGCCTTTTTTGCTTCAGTTATTTTTCTGATTGGGTCTCATACATTTTTTCTGGGGCCAACCTTGGACCTTGAGCCAAGGTAGTGTAGTTGAGATTACACACATAAACCACCATGCCTACCTTGTTTGTTGAGCTGGGGGTCTCACAAACTTTTTCCCCAGGCTGGCTTTGAACCTTAATCCTCCCAATTTCTGCCTCCCAAGTAGTTGGGATTATGAGTTAACCACCTCCCTCGGTTATTACTGATGAGACTCAGTAATAAAATAATTGGAACCTTGATCTAGGAAGCTGAAATCCAATTTTCTAAGCAACACTTACCTATCTACTTCTGCTTCCAGTGGGACAGAGACTTTTACTCTCACAAGTCCCAAGAAATTGCCTTGAAGACATCTGCTCAGCATTTGGGAATATTTGAGTCATCTGAGATCCACTGAATATTTTTAGTCTCACCTCCCTCTCCTGATCTGTGTAACTCTAAGGGCAGCAACACACAAAAGTCTATCCAGTGCTCATTTATTTGTTTTCACTTTTTTTTTTTTTGGTGGGACTGGAGTTTGAACTCAGGGCTTTGCTCTTGCAAGGTAGGTACTCTACTGCTTGAGCCCTTGGTTTCACTTTTGACAGTACCTTACTCTTGCTTTAACTCTGGAACCAGATTTGGGTTCCAGGCCAATTATCTTCTCCAAGCTGCCATCTGTAAAATAGTGGCAACGCTTAACCAACTGTTCCATTGAGCTGTTGAGATGTTTCATGTCTTTTCAAGTACTTGGGTAGCTGTTTTTATGGCTTCGAACTCATTTGAATGTAACCTCCCTGAATTTCAGTATCTCCATTGGTAAAATGAAGGTAGCTTGGAGCTATCTTCCTGCTCCAAAACACTTAGCAAATCATGGGTGAATAGAGAGGTTTGTTATCATTGTTATCTGTCATGTTCATTACTGAACCTACTGGCCTTAGTTGCAAATAGAGCAAAGTGACTCAAACTGGCTAGAACAGTAAGGAAGGTTATTGGTGGTTGGGGGTAAGGGAATGGGGTAGATTTCAGGATCAGTTCAGGGCTCAGTGTTGTCATCAACTCAAATTCATCCCCCCTTTCCTGTCTATCATTCTTAGTAAACCATGTTCCAAGCCTTAGGATCAGGGCTCTATGGTTTCCCACTCATATTCAGAGAAGTATGAGAGGCAAGTGGAGAGGAAGAAGCTGGCTTCTTTTAGAGGAGCCAGGTACCTCCTCAGTAATACTCTCTGGCTCTCAAATTAACTCAGGTGCCCAGTTTTGAACCAATCACTGTGACTGGTGAGTAGGAATTCTCTGATGTCTTAAATCAAGGTTTCTCAACACCTACACTACTGACTTTTGGGGTTAGATAAGTCTTTGTTGTGGTTCATCATAGCATCCCTGGCTTCTATCTGGTAGATGACAGAAGCACCCATCCCCAGTTATGGCAACCAAAAGTGTCCTCCAAGACTTTTCCATATGGGGGGGGGGGTTAATAATCACTCCTGATTGAGAAGCATTGGCTTAAACCCACCAGGTTTCATCTTGGAACCAGGATGGGGTCAACTTCCTATAACACATTGCTGGATGGGGGGAGGAGTGAAGGCCACTGAAAATCTGGGCAGTCATGGGAAGTTAAGAAATTAATGCTCTGTAGACAGCACAGATGTCTACCACAATTCCTCTGAGCCTGGAAAGTTTCTGAATATTTAATTGCAGATTTTCCTGTGAGGGCACCGTGCATAAAATAATACCAAGGTGGAGGGTAAAACAAATGTACAGAATAAAGAGGGCTATACAGAGATAAGATGTATAGATAGATAGAGGATAGATAGTTAGATAGATAGATATAGATTAGATATAGATATAGATATATAGAAAGAAAGTGAGGCAGGGGTGCTCAGGCATTAATTAGGAAAAGAGAATAAAAAAAATTGAGTTTGGCAGAAGCTAGTTTTTATTGCAATCCTGAATATCCTTGGTCAGCTGTGATTGAGGTTGCACACTGGGACTAACAGTATCCAGTTGGCAGATATATTTTTGTTACAGCCTGTGTTGAAGTGTTGCAGGCCGGGGTCGAGGGTCCTTGCCGTCACAGGCCAGGGAACTGGCTCGTGAGGCAGCTGAATGATGAGCCAAAGCCAGTATATAAAGTGGGATTTATTAGAAGGAAAGGAAAGGCTACAGTTAGAGCAGTGCAGCAGAACCCGGAAGCCGGTAGCTCGATGCTCAGGTGAAGGCTGGGGTTTTTATGGATGCTTTAACTCTGGGTTAGATGGGGTTTTCTCATTGGCCATGGATTTATGGGCTTTCTCAGGTGAACTGGTATAGTTAGCACCTTTATTGGGGGAGGGGAAACAATCTTGAGAGCATTTTGCTCATCAGCCCTGTGGCAGATCTATCAGACCCTGAATCTTTTCTTTAGGATGTAGAAATGCTATTGCTCTCTGGAAGGGATGGGATACTCACTCAGCTGCCTTATGTCTCCAGACCCAACATTTTTTAATTTATTTTAATCTACATGGTTTTTAAAACACTTTCTGGCTTAGTTGCAAGATTTAATGTAAAGAGATTTGACATAAAAATCCAAATTTCTGGGTGCCTTTGAAAAATGTAAAGGTCCTCCACTACTGGACACTTTATCCTTCCAGAGCAACAGGTGTGTAACCCATGCCTTCTTTAGATAGAGCAGGACCTCCCCACCCCACCATCTTCTCTCTGGTCTCCCTGGCCTTGAGTCCAGGGGTCAGTTTCCTTTGTCATTGCATGTCAGCAGCTTTTTCCTATAGGACTGTAGGAAGAAGGTGAAATGATTGTACTCTTGCCTCCATCAAAAATGGAGACATGTCTACAGACTGACACAGGACAATCACCAGTTCAAGGCCAGCCTGGGCTATATAGCAAAACCCTGTTTCGAGAACCCCAAAACAAAACCAACAATTGGAGAAGTGAAAGATAGGCCAAAAGTCCACATTGCAAAGAACATGGAAGGCAGCATATTCCTTTATGGCAGTAAAGATAATTTTAACTCAGTTCACTCTTTTGAGTTCCCTGCCTAGCTCTTAAAGGGAATCCTCATAGCCAGGTGCTGGAGGCTCACATCTGTAATCCTAGCTACGCAGGAGGCAGAGATCAGGAGGATCACAGTTCGAAGTCAGCCCAGGTAAAATAGTTCCGGAGACCCTATCTCAAAAAAAACCCACCACAAAAAAGGGCTGGTGGAGTGACTCAAGGTATAGGGCCTGAGTTCAAACTCCAGTACTGAAAAAAAAAAAGGAATCCTTGTACTTCCGTAGGATATATGTGTTAGGCCAAATGTATAACAGATAGATCCCAAAATATAATGACTCACTTATATTGACATGTATTCCTCACTTCCGTCTACCGCAGATGTTTCAGGTCTATGAGTCCCTCTCCTCTGAACAATTATTCAGGATCACACCCCCTTAGGGCACCACTATCTCCTGCATCCAGCTGACAGAGAACGAGCATATGTGTAGAGGAGGTAAATCTTCTCAGCCAAAGTAGCACAGGTCACATCCATTCATAAGCTATTGATGGTAGCTAGTCACATGACCATGTGGAGCTGCAAGAAAGGCTGGGAGATGAAGTCACAGCTGGCCCAACATGTCTCAGCTCCAACTCTGTTATGGTGGAAGGGCAGACAGATTTGATGGACAGCAAGTATTCTGTACCTTACGTAAAAATAGTGAGAGACTCCTTCTGGCATTGGAATCACATACATCCTTTGTTTAGCCAAGTAGTAAATATGCAGGAGATGTGAGGCTTCAGCCAATTCCAACTTTTTCTTATAGCTATGGATAAATTGGGGCAGATCATCTCCTTGGGCCAGCTCATCTGCAAACAGTGTGACGAGATGAAATACTGCCAGAAGCAGTGCAAGCGTCTAAGACAGCGCGTGGAGGACCTGCTACTGCCTCTTCAGAGGCTCCAGGCCCAAAAAAAGAGGAACCTGCCCACTGATTTAACCCCTGTCCTGAGCCATTTCGAGGCTGCACTGGAGGAAGCTAAGAGGCTGATAGAAAAGTTCAGCAATAAATCCAATATCTGGAAGTTCCTAACAGCAGGTAATGATAGGATGCTCTTTCGTGACGTAAACAAGAGGTTGACACATGTCTGGGAGGCGCTCTCGCTGGTGCTTCAGATAAATCAACAGATCAGCCAAAGACACAGCTGGCCAGAGGAAGATCAAGAGGATGCAGAGGCAGACTTACAAAGTCTGAGAAAGGGTAAGCAGAGATTTTCTTGAGGTGGGGTGCAGTTGGGGGGCATTCTATTGTCCAAAGGAGCAGAAAGGATGAAGAAGTTTGAGCAACTGTATCTTCCTGTACCTCAGAAATCTTAACATCTCTGGGCCCAGATGTACTGGAGGCTGGTGACATTTGGGCAAGCCAGCATGGGGGAGGAAAGTTGATGTCAGTAAGTCTCTCTGATGTCACACCTGGGATTCCAAAAGCTCACTCCTTCCAGCCTCACCTTCTCCAGACCTCTCATTTAAGATGTAAATTGTCCACAAGGAAGAATTAAGTAATTTACTGTGATTGTAAATCTTGATTATCAATTTGATTGGATTGAGAAGCACCTAGGAGGTTAATAAAGTACACCTCTGAGTATGTCCAGAGAGAATTAGCTAAAGGATGAAAGCAGTACCGTCCCATAGGCTGGGAGCCCCATTGGAATAAAAGTAGAAAGATGAAAAACCAGCAAATGCAAACATTTTTTCTCTCTGCTTCCTAGCAGAGAAAGAACTGCTCCATTATCTGTGTCTTTCCCACCATGATGGACTAAAACCTCTGAAATCATGATCCAAAATAAATCCTTCCTCCCTTAAATTGTTTTCTCAAATATCTTATCACAGCAATGAAAATCTGACTAATATATTTATTAAGCAAATGCCAATTGAGTACAGTACACCAAGCTCTGATCTAAGTGTTAGGGATATAGCACAGAGCAAAATAGTCGAAATTTCTGCCTTCATAGAATGTAAACTCTGCTGATAGAGCTAAGTAAATTGTTTTATTTGAAGACAGTGAAAACCATAAAGATCCAGAATGAGGTGCAAAGTGACAGTGAATGCAGAGAGAATGGCAGGGTGATAGAATGACATTGGAATAGACACTGAATAAGGAGAAGGAGCTAGCTATGAGATGAGGGGTAAGAACAATCTGGACAGAGGAAATGAAGCAGAAGAGGGAAGTTCAGGTTGGTCAGGAGTGAGCAGAGACTGACCAGATAAAATGTAGTATAAGTCCTGGGACATGTCCTAGGACACCCCGCCTAGCACATACTCCTTTCAGGAAGTATCTGGTTGAGGACGTCCTTGGAATGCCTTTTGTGGTCAGCTCAGAGGCTGCTGCTCCTGATAAAGGAAGATATTTGCTCAGAAGGAAAGATTCTGGAACTAGCATGTGCACTGAGGGCTGGGAAACCTACCCTCAGATGATCTTTTGAGACTTAAAGCTACTTAAAGATTCATACACAGGGATTGCATCTCATACATGTAATTATAACAGAATGCATTATGGGTAAGGACATGTGCAATGTAAAGCAAGTTATATAACTTCCTCCTTTCAATTAAAGCTGTCAATCTTAAGAGGGTGGTTCCTCTTAACCCCCCTTTCAGCCCCAGTTTCAGCCATAAATTGCAACATGAACAGGGGATTAGGGCCTTGTGCTTTTTTGCTCAGGCCCACTCTCATTCTGTGGGAGTGTATTTCTGCTTGCAATAAGTCTATGCTTTTCTTGTTATTTCTGTGTGTTTTGTCCAATTCTTTGTTTAATTTGCTAAGAACCTGGATTACTCACAGATACCCACCCTCCCTGATGGTAACAGGAGCAACAAATGCAAAGACCTTGAGGTGGTAATAAATATGGCACATGCCAGGAACTGCTAGAAGGCCAGGTGCCTTTGGTGCAATAGCAAAGGAGAGAGAGTGATATCAGATGAAAGTAGGGGAGTAAACCAGAAGATATAGGATCCAGACCATGCCAGGCCATGTAGGCATGAAAAGAAATTTAGATTTTCCTCTAAGAGTCATAGGAACTAGAGGTCCTTCATCATGTACCTCTCATGATTTCATTTTCAGTCAAAGAAAGTCACTCTGGCTTCCATGAGGCAAACGGACAAGAAATACCTCCGGGAGTGTATTTGTCAATTATTGCTGCACTAATACTCAGAGGCTTCAAGCAATAGTCATGCATTCCCATCCTCATGAATCACAGCTCCTCTAGGGTTCTCTAGATCTTATGTAGGCTTGATTGGGCTTGGCTCTAGGCATCAGGTTGAGTTTGAATCTGTTATGTATCTCATCGTGGAGTCCAGGCTTCAGGTTGCTAGATAGGGGTTGTACAAAAGTTACAAGGGATGAGGTTGCCTGTTTCTCCATACTTTTTTCCATTAGAGACTTTCCCAGTTTTAGTACTGAAGATCATGTGTCCCAAGAACTCTTCAGTCCTAGGAAAACTGGAATGGTTGGCCACTGTGAAGTATGTAAATTAGGATAGATTAGATTATGCTATAGTTTTAAAAGCAACAGCAATTCAATGTCTTACAGAAACAAGTCCATTTATCATTGAGGCAAAGTTCCAAGGTGGATGTCCTCCTCCAGACATGTTTCAGTGGTATTTCAGTAATTTTGTGTTGACATAAATTTCCCTCTCCCAAAGCAGCCATGTTGGAAGCTTGAACAGAGTCAATGTAATGCTTCCCCTGGGAAGTGACACACAACTCTTTCACTTTCTTTCTTTACCAAGCAATTCACATAATTAGGCTTCAAGACATTTCCTGTGTGGTTCAAAGTAGAAAGATAAATGTTAGTATTTCTTACCCCAAGGACTAGGATATATAAAAACTGGTAGCCTGGTGGTTTTAACTAGAATTTTGGTTTTGATTAGCATGTGGTTTAAGTTAGCATTTCTGTTTTTGAATAATTTCCCCCTTTTTATTTCAGAAAATAAGGATTTAGAAGCTTTGCTGAGGCAGCTGGAAAACAATCTGAAAGAAATCAGGGAAACCTTGAAGCTCTGTAAGTTGTATGCCCTCTTGAAGCTCCCAAACTAGAAGTCTTCTTTTTACTAGAAACTCCAGCCTGCCCCTACTCTTACCATGCTCCGTTATCTGTGCTAGATGGCTGGAAGCAGCCCATAGGTTTTGGGATGTGCTCACAGCTAGCCCAGACTCCTGTCCATGAAATAGCATTTGAAGGGGGCTTCTTGACCAACAAGAAATCCCCTACCTCCTATCAAAATGCTAAAAACTTCCTCTAAGATAGCATCTAAGTCAGTCAGCATTCTGTTACTGTAACAAATACCCAAGATAATCAACTTACAAAGAGAGAAGGTTTGTTTGGCTCATAGTTTTGGAGGTTTTGGTCCATGATCAGTTGATTTTTTTTTTATTTTGGAGCCTATGGCAAGATAGCACCTCACTGTGTGAGAGCATGGTGGAGCAAAACCACTCAGCTCATGGAAAGGAGGGTTTGCAGAGTGGCTCAAGCAGGTAGAACACCTGCCTAGGAAGCACGAGGCCCTAAGTTCAAACCCCCATACCACACACACACACACACACACACACACACACAAAGACAGAAGAAGGGACTGGGGTCTCACAGTCTGTTTGGGGACATGCCCCTCGATATCCTAAAGACTTCCGACTAGGCTCCACCTCTTAAAGTTTCCACCACCTCCCAAGAGTACTTCCCTGGGGTCCAAGCCTTTAATACATGGGCCTTTGGGAGATATTCCAGAACCAAACTGTAGCAGCATCAATGCTTCACTTCACTTGCTGAATGTCAAGAAGAAATTTAAATCAAATTTAAAGTCCTAGCTCATTCATTCATTTAATAGAACTTTATGTCAGAGGCTGTGCACAGAGGTTAGCTAAGATGTAGAGGACACTGACTTTAGGGAGCACATGAATTGGGGGTGGAAGAGGAGAAGGAAAAAAGAGATAGTGAACATGTAACAGCAGTGCAGTTACTGAACTTGAACTATGTCCTTATTACATCTAAAGTGACTAGACATGGTACCCCTGGTGCCCCAGGGCCAAACTGTGTGGCAACAGTAGTAGGAAGAACTCTGAGATGAGAGAGATAGGGGTTAAACCTGGAAAGACCAGCAGGATTGGAAGAGGAAGGCAAGGAAGTGTACAACATGACTCTGCTAAACATCCAGCTGTGTCGCTACTGTCACTTCGCTCAGAGGCAGAGGAACCTCTCCCCTCAGTTGAGTCAATTGGAAGTTCCACCCAGGCCCAGCTCTGGCTCATGGTGTAGAACTTCCCACTCACGTCACAAAGTTGCTGCTTCCCTTGGGCCACTTTCCTTAGTTCATAGATTTTTTTTTTTAATCTCCTTCTGACCTGGGGCTGAGGTCAGATTCACAGAAACCCATGCAGAAGGTCCCACAAGATAAAATCAAGGAGATTAAGAAGGAACATCTTCTAGAATCCCCATGGATCCGGCTAAGGGAAAATGAATTCAGCACTCTTTACAAAGGAAAGTATTACAAATGTCCAGTGACCATAAAAGTATTCAACAAACCCCAGGCCAGAAACATTGGGTAAGTCATCTTGTATGATTCTCTCACATGTATCAATACTTTTTCTCTATAACTCCCCAAGGAAAGAGATGTATTTTCTCCATTTTTAGATGGGAAACCAGGCCCCAAAGGGTTAAATGACTTGACCCCTCCTATTAAGGAGCAGACTCTAAACTTGAACAACTCTCTTCCTACCTCAATTTTAGAACCTTTCCTCTATTATTCATGGATTTATGTAGTTTAAAATATATATTCCCTTTCATTCCTGTTTCTCAGTCCCCATCCCCTTCACACACAATAATTCTAGTGTTTTCTTTGTATGTGTTCCTGTAAAGTACATGCTTTTATTATGCATTTTTAATTTTCACAAATGGAAATGATGTCTGTTCCTATTGTTCTTACTTTATTCACTCAGTGCCATGGGTTATGAAGTCCTTTCATTCTCACTGCTGTCCATGGTATTGATCTGCCTTTTGCCCATTTTTTCCAGTGATGGAACCCAGTCTTCTTCCAATTTTCCCTCACTAAAAAATGCCACCATGCTGGGAACAGTGGCTTATGCCTATAATCCTAGCTACTCTGGCATCAAAATTGGGAGGATCAAAGATTAGGCTAACCCAGGCAAAAAATTCACCGCAACCAATAAAAGCTGGTTGCAGTGGTACATGCCTGTCATCCTGGCTACACATAAATAGGATTGCAGTCCAGGCCAGCCCAGGCCTAAATGCAAGATCCTATCCCCAAAATAACTGTAGTAAAAAGGGCTACCTACATAAAGAGATACCTACACCATAGGTATCTCTTTATGAATCTGTATGAGAATTTCTTTTTGCAATGCTATGGGGTTGAACCCAGGAACTCACACATGCTAGGTTTCCTAGCAAGCATGAGGCCCTCAGTTCAATACACTCATGAACACAAAAGAAACATTTGGCTATAGATTGTGAAGTTACTTTTGAACTCTTCATTCTATTTTATTGATTTAAATGCCTTTCCTGATGCTAGAACTGTACTGTCTTGATTATGGTAGACTTGTAGTAAGTTTTTTTTTCTTTGAGGTATTGGGGCTTGAACTCAGGGCCTACACCTTGAACCACTCCACCAGCCCTTTTTTGTGAAGGGTTTTTTCAAGATAAAGTCTCACAGAACTCTTTGCCCAGGATGGCTTTGAACCACAATCCTCCTGATCTCTGTCTCCTGAGTAGCTAGAATTACAGGCATGAGCCACTAGCACCCGCAGACTTGTAGTAAGTTTTGAAATTAGGAAATATGAGATGAGTCTCCCAACTTTATTCTTTTTCAAAATCATCTTGGCTACCCTGGGTTCCTTGCATTTTCCTATGAATTTTAGGATAAGTATCAGTTTTTTTAGACAAACCAGCTAGGATTTTGATAGGCATTCTATTGAACCTATAGAATAATTTAGAGAATATACTATCTTAAAATATTAACTCTTCTGAACCATGAACATGGAAAAGGATCACCTTTTCAACTATTGTTATTAAAGAAGAAAAAAAGCCAATGAGGAGTTAGATAGGGGTTGCACTGAACTTGTGACTCAATTTGGAGAGTGTGGCCATCTTAGTAAGTCTTCCTATCCAAGAATAGGAAAGACATTAGTCTTTCCATTTATTTAGATCTTTTTTACATTTCTCCAGTGTTTTAGGTATGAATATTTCAGGGCACTTAGACGTCTGTTAAATTTCATATATTTTAATCTCTTTGTGTCATTGTAAATGAAATTGTTTTCTAAATTTCATTTTCAGATGATTGTTTAATGCAAGTACAGAGAACTACAACTGATTTGTTGTAGGCTTTGAACCTGCTCTGTTTCCTTAGGCAAATGCCATTTCTCTTTGAGTCCCGAGTTCCACATTCAGTGCAAATGAGCAAGTTGGATTGAGCTGGTGGTTTCAGTGATTTTTTTTTTTTTGAAACAGGATCTCACTGTGTAGCCCAGACTGGCCTTAAACTTTGGATTCTCTGGCCTCAGCCTCCAAAATGCTGGAATTACAGATGTGTACCACCACACCCAGCTTAATGATCTTCTTTAGTAATTTACCTACCCAACATTCTTGAGGGCCCATGTCCTGGAAGGGATTTTGTTCATAAAATTTCATTTAATAAATAAGTGATAACTAGTTTCCTTATTTTTGCTATTCAAGGACATACACCACAATCTTATCAGAACACTTGCTAAATAAAACATTACAGCCTAGCCAGGCACCAGTGGCTCACACCTGTAATCCTAGCTACTCAGGAGGCAGAGATCAGGAGGATCACAGTTCAAAGCCAACCTGGTCAAATAGTTCATGAGAACCTATTTCAAAAAAAACATATCACAAAAAATAACTTGTAGAATTGCTCAAGGTGTAGGCCCTGAGTTCAAACCCCAGTATTGCAAAAAAAAAAAAAAATTACAGCCTAAAACAGTAATATAAACTTGACATCTTAGTTTGCCTATTAAAGCCTTATAGGTCATAAAAATACAATTCTGTGTGGTTGTTTGAAATTCCAAAAAGTGACTCTTGACAGTCACTCAGGAACTAATTCTGCTGCCAAGTTCATCTGAGGGGTTTCACATGCTGCCATCAGCAACCAACCTCAGCACACCAGTTTTCCCCAACCCCCTAAGAGATGCTGATGGTGTCTCAACCACACACATGCACACTACCCTATTCTACAAAGGACCTTCCATTCTGAACTATTAATCTCCCCTTTCATCCTCATAGAATAGTGAGACACACTTTCAATAATGAGATCAGAGCCATGAAGAAATTTGATTCTCCCAATATCCTGCGTATATTTGGAATTTGCATCGATGAAACAGGTAAGGAGGGTTTCTTGGTTAAACTCTTGATAGGCTGGACTATACCTTCTGCATTTCAATTTTTTTCCTTAAGAGCAGCTGAAAGGGTGGTATCTGCACAGTATAGTTATTATCAAAGCTAATTGTTTTTGTGTGTATGTGTCAAGATGCAAGTTCCTTTCTTCTTTCAGGAGAGTGGGGCTTCAACCCAAGGGCTGGTTTGAGCTAATATGGCTTTCTTGGAAGTCCTGGAAGTCCTTTGGGAACCCACAGGGTGCTTGTTCAGATGCTGGCCTGGGTGATGGATACATTTTGTTGCTACAAAACATTATAAAGCTGCCTGACCCAAACAAACAATAATAATAATGATGCCTTGGGCATCATTATTGGGCATCGTTAGTGTAGGTCAAATCTAAAAACTCAATTAATCTTCCCCTTTACCAAGTACCTCATGGGTCAGATTCTTTATTTTTATTTTTTAATATGGCTGCATTTTCTCACAAAGTATGGTCTCTCCTGCTGTTCATGTTTTGCTGCCGTTGCTTAGAGAGAGGAAAAAGCAACTATCTACTTACCTTTCTAGAAGTTTGTCCACAGCCTCAGGCCAACCTGATTTCAAAGCATAGAATCCCAGTCTAAAGGAAACTTGTAGTAATATTTATTCTCCTGGGTGATGGCTGAAGTGACTGACTCAACCTCTGTGTGTTGGTTCTTGCATCTTAAGCTATGACCTGAGATTCTGACTTCTTGTCTGAGTTACCCATGCCAGTCCCTTGTGCCTGTGTATCCTTATTCCTTCCACACATATGTGCTAAACTCCTCATGAGCACCTTGTGAACAAAACACACATTTCCAGGCCTCTTGGAGCTTACAGTTGAGTGGGAAGAAGACAGCTCTCAGATAATTACTCAAACAAATATAGAATGACGATATGCCAAAAACCATGAAGAGCACAGGAATTCTAGGGGTATTTGACCCATTCAGGAAATAAAGGAGCAAACTGTGTGAGGCAGAAGTATAGGGCTGGCAGATGAATGGCTCATAGCAAAGCCAAATGTATCTCTGCAGAGAGAAAGGGAGTGGTGGTCTGTAGGTAGCAGAAACTCTGAGTAGTGTTGGGTTTTCATAGTATCTGATTCCTCTCCAACAGAGAATCCACCTCAATTTTCCATCATCATGGAGTACTGTGAACGTGGGACCCTGAGGGAACTGTTGGATGAGGAAAAGAACCTCACATTTGGTGTGCGCATCTTCCTAGTTATGGGAGCTGCCAATGGCTTGTACAGGTACCAGATGGGGTGAAAGGGCACTACAAAAAACTGGATAATGGGAGAATAGGCTGGAAGCCTCAGTCAATCTCTCTTCCATCTATTATTTCACTGTAGACTCTGATTATAGCACCCTTGACTAGAGGAGGACAGGAGGCATAACCTAGTCAGTACCAGCTCCCAGAATAATGGTTTGAATTTAGTGTCCAGGCCACTCTTATGGACTTGAGCAGGCCCTACTCTTAGAGTTGCCAGATTTACCAAATAAAAATATGCATACCCAGTTAAATTTAAACTTCAGATAATTTTATGAATATATCTTAAGTTGAGCTGGAAGATTAGCTCCAGTGGTAGAGCACTTGCTTAGTAAGCAGAAGGGCCTGAGTTCAAACCCTAGCACCATCAAATATGTGCTAAATATTGCATATGCTGATTTTCAGAGATACCAAATTTCACATAAACAAGAAATGTTTTTCTTTAGTGTAACTATGTCCCATGCAATTTTGGTATATACTTGTATTTTTAAAAATGTATTGTTTGTCTAGAACACAAATCAACTGGGTGTTTTCTATGTTAGCTGGTGGTTCTACCTACCCTCACACAGAGTATAGGGTGCCTTTAGTTCATGAGTCACAAAAGGTCTGTCACTCTCAAACTACCTGTAGTATTTTTTCATATCCACAGTATTTTTACATCAGTATTTTTATTTAACATTTTTCTTTAAATGAACTCAATTTAAAAGATCTAAATTAAAAAAAAAAAAACAGTGTCACTTGCCACAAATAGGTGACCACAAATGAAGCCAAAACAGTGAAATTAAATTCTGGCTAGATGTGGCTACGTGCCAGAAGCACTATATACTTCAGACCCGTATCCTCTATGTACAAAGGTGATAAGAGTTGAATTAGAGGTGTGATAAGAACACCCAATACCAAACAGACTTATTCCTTGATGTAATCAGAAAGATTGGAATAAATTAAAGGAAGAAAATTTTTCCTGTGTGTAATCTTGTATACTGTTATATCACCGTACCTTTGGGAATACTATCTTAGCTGCTTATTTGAGATCACAGTTTATCTTTTCTCAACTCCTGAAACTAATGGGTTTGATGAGATGTAATTTTGGATGCTGTAGGGGGCACTGTTAGTCTCCCATCCAAATACCCTCTGCTCTTTACCAGCTCTATGTCCCCATCCCCCACTCAGCATCTTTGCTGCTAACAGCTCAAGGTTGCAATCTTCAGAGATTATCCTTCGCCCTTGGAGGTAGCTGAAAGTGCCCCGGAGTTTTATACTCTGACATCCCAGTCCTTAGCTACTAACTGACTGATGGAGTACAAGAGTTGAGGTCTTTTGCCTCCCCTGAGGTATAATTATTACCCAGACATCTCTTGTTAAGTAGAATGAGCTGGGACTGCACCTGAAATTGTACACCTTTGCTTGACTTCTCCTTCCCTGTCTTGCTTCTTCCTCTCCCTCATGAGCTTCTCCTGGGAAAACCTTCTTAGTAGGTCACTCGTCAGTAGTCGTTAGTAGGTCAGGTTCTCCTGCTTCTGGGAGAACCTGAGCTAAGGCAGACACTGTGACAATTGCCCAACCTGGCATGCAGGGCTCCATTAATCCAAAACACTTGCCTGTAAGCGGAGAGAACCCCAGCTTCATATTCTGTTTTAACCAGAAGGGTCCTAGGCCTGGTCCCACCAGCCAGCTATGCCTCTGAGTACTTTGGTTCAACACTTCCTAGGCAAAGCTCCTCAGAGAGTCCTTAATTATTGTCTATGTAAAGTGACTCTGGTGACAAATTGCACCCACTCCCTAAGGGCTGTCACACTTGCCTGCATGATGCATCAGCTCTGCTGTTCTCACATATTGTCAGATCCCATGTCTGTCTCAGTTCTCCAAGCTCTCCATGGATAGCTACCCATGAGGAAGGCATGGTACCGGCCAGCCTGTTATCACAGTAATGACTATCTGTGCAAAAGTCATTAATGCTCCATGCCTTTGGTTGTGTCAGGCTACACCATTCGGAAGCACCTCAGCTCCACAGAAACATCAGGAGTACAAACTTCCTGGTAACTGAAGGCTACCAAGTGAAGGTGAGCACCCTTCAGGGCCTCTTTGGGTGGGCCAAACCTGTGTGACCATTTTGTGCTAAGAGAGGGTCACAAGTGTGTCAGAATGACTCTGCCTGCTTATTTCTCTCCTTAGTTTTAGAACTAAGTGCAATTCTTCCCCAGCTTATATAGCTCCCTGTGTGCCCACAATAGTGCAGACTCCTCCTTTGCCTCCCACTCTGATGCTTGCTTCCCTCACCCCTAGCAGGGATGAGCTAAGACTCATTTCCCCTTTGATGCCTAGACACCACTTCTACCATCCTACAATACAATACCCACCAGGGGCCAGGGGCCAGTGGCTCATGCCTGCAATCCTAGTACTTGGAAGACTGAGATCAGGAGGATAGTGGGTCAAGGCCAGCCTGGACAAATAGTTCAAGAGGCCCCATCTCCAAAAATAACCAGAGCAAAATGGACTACAGTGTGGCTGAAGTGGTAGAACATCTGCTTTGTAAGCACAAAATCCTGAGTTCAAACCCCAGTCCCAACAAAAATTTTTTAAAAATCCACCAGGGGATTTTCTTAGATTCAACTGGGTATTCAGACTCACAGAACTGTCATGAGCCACACTTGGCATTCAGGATCACTTAGATGAGTCTGTAGGAAATATAGCTTGCCAGCAGTATCAAACTCTTCTCTCCACCAGGAGTTCCCACAGTCATCCAAGCTATATTGTCCTTGTCCCTACCCAGTTTCTAAAGAAAGAGGTTCCCATCAGGTGGGTGTGAGGCTATCCTGGCTCAGAAGTTTATGACCTGCCACGAGTCAATATCTTCCCCTCCCCCTATACTGGGGATTGAACTCAGGACCTCACACTGCCACTGGAGCCATGTCTCTAGTCCTTTCTTGGCTTTTAGTTTGCTTTTCAGGTAGGGTCTTATACTAAGTGTACAAGCTGGCCTCAAACCTTGATCCTCCTACCTCTACCTCCTGTCAATATCACTTATATCAGCCCTAGAGGTATATCTTCCAATGTTCCTTCAAGGGAAGATCAGTTAGTTCCCATTTAGAAGATAAGCTACAAAAGACAGCATATAAACTGGGTGCAATAACTCAAGAAGAGGTGGAGAATCAGGAGGCAGAGATTAAGAGGATCCTGGTTTGAGGCCAGCCCAGGCAAAAATTTCGAGAGATCCCCATCTCAACAAATGGCTGGGACTAGTGGTATGCACCTGTCATCACAGCTACAAGGGGAAGCATAAATAGAAGGATCATGGTCGAGGCATAAAGTGAGACTCTATCTCAAAAAATAAATTAAAAAAGGGCAGAGAGCATGGCTCAAATGGCAGAGCACCTGCTTAGCATATGTGAGGCCCTGAGTTCAACCCCTAATACCACAAAAAAAAAAAAATAGGACCGCATGCCTGTCAGTTATACATAGTCACCTGATCCACCAACCCGTACACAAAAGCAGTTTGCCACTCAGCAGTCACATTACTTTGGTGCATAGGTGACAGTCTATCTTTATCAGGTTTTCAGGGGAACAGAGCTAAAAAGTTACCAAAAATCTATCATAACTTGTTTCATTTGCTCTGAAGAACAAAGGGTTTTGTTAAATTGTTGTTCACAATTCCCAAGTTCTAAAAGAACTTTTTTGTCATCCATAGATGGTTTTCTTGCTTCCAGCCTTGTGAATGTAAGGGATAGCCCTACATTAGCAGAAAACAGGATTTTTCTGCTTTTCAGGTGCCTTTCCCCCATCTGAGTATCTTACCCTTTTCTTGACTTTGCTCCTGGATTTGGGTATCTGGCTGAGTTTGGGGCTGGTAGTTTTCTGCACACAGATGACACTAATGGCAGCTGTGCATGGAGCAAAGACATACATTCCAATTAATTGTGCTACGGTCACTGTGTGACCATGAAGGGTTGACAAAGATAGCTCATACTTTTTAAGTAAAATTCAAAGGAATGGACTGATAACACTACAGAGTCAGGTAGAACAGAGGAAGTTCCTGCATCATTTTTTCATCTGCTTTTGGAAGGAAGCAAGTCATGTGTTGGCTCCATGAATTCTTCTCCACCTTCACTAAATGGAGCTGAGTCCTTCACTGTGAAAGCCCTCTACCTAATACAGTATTACCAATACAGTATTACTAGTATTACCAAATCTTACAGCAGCTCTGGAATTATTATCTCAAGTAAGCTTTCCTGGCATCACCCCCATTTTATAGTCTCTTTATGTTTCCTTTGATTGTTGTATTATGATAAATTGAACCTATAATGTCAACCAATATCGTAGCCACACAGTCAGAAGATATGATTTGAAACAAATCCCTAAGGGAAAAAAACACCCCTTGACAATCATTTCTCACACTAACTCCCTGACCTCTACTCCTCCACCCCAGATCTTGCTGTTTCTTTCTGCCACTAATTCATCTCTTTATCTAGCTTGCAGGATTTGAGTTGAGCAAAACACAGACTTCCATCAGTTGCAAAACTAACGGAAATGACTCAGAGAGAGTCAACTCTACAGCATATGTCTCACCTCAGGGACTGAAAAATGTGTATAGTAAATATGACATGAAAGCTGAAATATACAGGTATGTTCACGTTCTTGTGCAGATTCTAACCCAGCTAAACAGGACAGGAAAGTCCAAGTCAAACTCCTCTCCTGAGGATCAGCTTAATTTATTGAACAGAGTTGAGTGGTAACCAGAAAATTCACTGAGTTTTCTGGAAGTGGCTAGATGAATATGGGAGAAAGGAAATTGTTATATGATTCTCAGTTTCTTGGTTTTCTTTTAGCTTTGGAATTGTTCTCTGGGAAATCGCCACTGGGAAGATCCCATTTGAAGGTGAATAACATGAAGGCTGGCTTTGTGGGTTCTGTGTTTGGGTCCTCTTCCAAGAGATCAGAAATTCCCCATCAGTGCTGTCCTGGGCACTTGGTTCTCCAATGTGCAAACTGTCTGGGGTGTCCAGTGGAATCATGGGAAACTCTTGTTTTGTCCATTCTTTCAAGTCCCTAGTTCCCATGCCAGCCAATCAGCATCCAGAGAGATGTGTTTGAGAATACCACAGCAATTTTTTTAAGCTTCCCATCTATCATTTCCATGCAGACTGTGATAATAAGAAGATCTACCAACTGGTGGTTGCAGAGCGGCACCAGGAGCCTGTGGGTGAAGACTGTCCTTTAGGGCTGCAGGACATCATTGATGAGTGTCGAGCCTATGAGCCCTCTGGGCGACCCTCTGTTGATGGTATGGAACTTTCTGGTGTAAAGAGCAGGAGCAATAAGTTCATTTCACATTTGTGAAACATTTTGTTTTCAAAAGAAATTAGTCCACATTCAGGGGTGGCTTTGCCCTCCAGGGGGAAATGTGGCAATGTATGAAGACATTCTTGGCTGTTACAGCTCAAAGAAGGGGGAGTAGGGTGTGTTCCTGGCATCTAATAAATAGATGCCAGGGATGCTACTCAGTTTCCTAAAAGGCATGGGACAGGGCTGGGGGTGTAGCTCAGTGGTAGCATATGGGAGCCTCTGGCTGGAGTCCCAGAACTGAAAGAAAAAAAAAAGAAACTCAAACCTCAAATAAATCAGACAACCCTCCACAACAAAGAATGATCCAGCTCAGATGTCAGTACTACAGGTGTTCAGAGACTCTGCCCCAAGGACATTTAAATAGTCTAAAGTCGGTTGGGAAGGCAAGTTACTATCCTGTGACCTATTGTCCTTCTTCCTTCCCTTCCCCCCTCCCTCCCTCCAGTCCTTTCCTCATCCTTCCTTCTTTCCTTCACTGTTTTCAATATTTTATCATGTCATCTGCTGCTTCTTGGCAGCTTCCTTCCTCTGTCTCCCTCCCCAGGAGTATCTGCCTCTCCCAGTCTGTATCCCAATCTCCCAGACTTTCCACAGAGCACCTGACAGAGGAGAGAGGGATTCATACACAGCTTCTCTGGAATGGGAAAATATTTCCATTGAAGTTGCTGCAGAGTTCAAACACAAAATGGTTTTTTTCTTATTTTTATCATGCTATATATTATAGTATAATCATGTATAAAATATGCATGTGCAGTTAAAATATTAAAGTGAAAGAACATCACACAGCTCCCTTTGTTAAGGACAAGAACATTGCCACTTACTCAGAAGCCATCTAAGATGTGAGTTTACCCCTCCCACAAAGTATTCAAAATTGACCAAGTAAGAGGAGAACTTCATATCACAAAGGCACAAGTACAGATGGTTTTGGCATCAGCAAATCATGAGGAATGCAATTTGTACCTATGATGAAGTAAAATGCACATGTCTTTGTGTTTCTAGCTTGGCTCTAAGCTCCTTGGTCTTGTCTCAATTTCTGTTTATTCATTCATAGGAATCTTAGAGAGACTGTCTACCTTTACCGAAACCTAAACCAAGGGGTCCCTGGACAAGAAGTTGGGAGAGGCACAAACTGGACATCTCTTATATCCTTCAGCATCGAGTTATTGATGGGTGCAAGGAGGCAGTCAGTACTTCTCTATTTTGAATAGAAAACCCTCCCAGCCATTCAAGACATCCCACTCCCAATAATATTCCCAAAATATGCTTTTGATAATAATTGCAGATGATTTGCCAAATTTGATAAATGATTTTCTATGTCTACACCTCTTGGCATCGTAACTTCATGGCTCTTTTTATCAAGAAGTGGAGTCTGATTCCCTACCATGTGAGTCTGAGCTGGCGTGGTGACTTGATGTGGTCAATAGAACATGGAAAAAGTGATGGTAGGCCAGTTCCATGCCTGGGCTTCAAAAGGCCTTAAAAATAACCATTCTCTCTCTTGGAACCCTATTCAGCCCTGAACTAACAGGGCTAGCATGCTGGAGAATGAGATACCACACGGAACAGAGAAGACCTACCCCAGCTGAGCTCGTGCTAGGCCAGCCAGCATAACAGTCGAACCAGTTACATGAGTGAGCCCAGTCAAGGCCAAAGAAAGCCAGCTGAGCCCAGCCTCCATTGCCCCTTCACATAATTATAAGCTAAATAAATTTATTGTTGATTTAAATCACTCAGTTTTGGGGTGGTTTGTTACATAACAGTAATAACTGAACAAGCACTGTACAGCCTTTCCTCTTACCCATTGAATTAAGTACAGACTTTCCATTTGGATACCCATGACTTTATATCTCTGACCCCATCTGATCTGACTTTTTCCACATTAGGTCCCAGAGCGCTCTAGTTTTGTGTGGGGGTGGGACACTGGGGTTTGAACTCAGGGCTTCATGCTTGCAAAGCAGGTACTTTACTGCTTGAGCTATATCTCCGGTCTATTTTGCTGGAGATGTGGGGGAGGTGTCTTGCAAACTATGTACATGGGCTGGCCTTGAACTATGATCCTCCCTATCTCAGCCTCTCAAGTGGCTAGGATTATAAATGGCATGAGCCACCAATGCCAAGCAAGCCCTCAAATTTTGATGATTTATTAACTGAACCAAAGTTTGTTTACTCATCACTCAAAAAGGCCAGTGACTGAAGTTGTTAGGGCAAGGAAAAAGATATATTTGAAAATCTAGCAAGCTAAAAGATGGGAGGCTGTCAGCAACATAAAACATCTTAGGAGACTCAGGTAAGCAAAAAGGCTTTATAGGGAGGAAAAGGAGAAGGGAGCAATGGGCAAGAAAAAAATCGATCCCTAGAGACTTCTAAGTGCTGGTACAGTGGCCTGGAACTGGACATTTCCTTAGTTATGCCTATCTTGGTGTGTTGGAGAAGAGAGATGAGGTAAGTTCAAATCAACCTTATAGTTCCAGGCAAAAGATTTCTTGAATGATTAATATGTCTACACACAGAGTTGAGAAGAAATCTGATTCAATGGTTAGCAAAGTAAACAGATATGACTGCAGAGATGCCAACATTTTTCATCCTGTTCTAGTCTCTCATCGGACATGTGCAGGCCTAAGTAAAGAATCAAGGCTTTCACAAAAAGTGCCTTTCAAACTGGGCACCTATAATCCTTGGGAGGCTGAAATCAGGAGGATCATGATTGGGGCCAGCCCAGGCGAATAGTTTTTGAGATCCCTATCTCCAAAATAACCAGAGGAAAATGGACTGGAGATGTGGCTCAAGTGATATAGAATGCCTCCTTTGCAAGTGTGAAGCCTTGAGTTCAAACCCCTGTTCCACCAAAATAATAAATCTCCAGGGCACTGTATCTAATTTATTCCTAATATTTATTTATGAAAAGTTTCAAATACAAAGAAGAGTCAGTAGAATTGTACTGTGAACATCCACAGACACACCACTTAAATCTCCAATGAGCAATTTACTGTATTTGTTTTATTACGTATCTGTCCATCTGTCTAGGCTTCCTTCTATCCATTAATCCATCCTAATTTTTTATGTATTTAAAAGAAAATTACGACCATCAGTATACTTCAGACACATGAGAACTTATACAATTAACTGCAGGGTTTTTTTTGGCAACACTGGGATTTGAACTCAGGGTCTCATGCTTGCTAGGCAGGCACTTTAACCACTTGAGCCACTCTACTAGCCCTTTTTTGTGAAGGGTTTTTTTGAAATAGGGTCTGGTGAACTATTATGTCCCTGCTGGCTCTGAACCATGATCCTCCTGATCTCTGCCTCCTGAGTAGCTAGGATTATAGGCGTGAGCAATCTGCGCCTAGCAGTTCTATTTTTTTTTTTAATTTTTTTGGGGGATGGGAGAGGTAAAATTTTCATATGGTAAAATGCATATAACTTATTTATTTGATTGTTTCTTTCTTTTGAGTTACTAGGAATCAAACCCAGTGCCTTATACATGCTAAACAAACACTATACTACACAATCTTATTTTTTTTTTCATTTTTCTTTTATTATTCATATGTGCATACAAGGCTTGGTTTATTTCTCCCCCCTGCCCCCACCCCCTCCCTTACCACCCACTCCACCCCCTCCCGCTCCCCCCCTCAATACCCAGCAGAAACTATTTTGCCCTTATCTCTAATTTTGTTGTAGAGAGAGTATAAGCAATAATAGGAAGGAACAAGGGGTTTTGCTGGTTGAGATAAGGATAGCTATACAGGGCATTGACTCACATTGATTTCCTGTGCGTGGGTGTTACCTTCTAGGTTAATTCTTTTTAATCTAACCTTTTCTCTAGTTCCTGGTCCCCTTTTCCTATTGGCCTCAGTTGCTTTAAGGTATCTGCTTTAGTTTCTCTGCATTAAGGGCAACAAATGCTAGCTAGTTTTTTAGGTGTCTTACCTATCCTCACCCCTCCCTTGTGTGCTCTCGCTTTTATCATGTGCTCATAGTCCAATCCCCTTGTTGTGTTTGCCCTTGATCTAATGTCCACATATGAGGGAGAACATACGATTTTTGGTCTTTTGAGCCAGGCTAACCTCACTCAGAATGATGTTCTCCAATTCCATCCATTTACCAGCGAATGATAACATTTCGTTCTTCTTCATGGCTGCATAAAATTCCATTGTGTATAGATACCACATTTTCTTAATCCATTCGTCAGTGCTGGGGCATCTTGGCTGTTTCCATAACTTGGCTATTGTGAATAGTGCCGCAATAAACATGGATGTGCAGGTGCCTCTGGAGTAACAGTCTTTTGGGTATATCCCCAAGAGTGGTATTGCTGGATCAAATGGTAGATCGATGTCCAGCTTTTTAAGTAGCCTCCAAATTTTTTTCCAGAGTGGTTGTACTAGTCTACATTCCCACCAACAGTGTAAGAGGGTTCCTTTTTCCCCGCATCCTCGCCAACACCTGTTGTTGGTGGTGTTGCTGATGATGGCTATTCTAACAGGGGTGAGGTGGAATCTTAGTGTGGTTTTAATTTGCATTTCCTTTATTGCTAGAGATGGTGAGCATTTTTTCATGTGTTTTCTGGCCATTTGAATTTCTTCTTTTGAGAAAGTTCTGTTTAGTTCACTGCCCATTTCTTTATTGGTTCATTAGTTTTGGGAGAATTTAGTTTTTTAAGTTCCCTGTATATTCTGGTTATCAGTCCTTTGTCTGATGTATAGTTGGCAAATATTTTCTCCCACTCTGTGGGTGTTCTCTTCAGTTTAGAGACCATTTCTTTTGATGAACAGAAGCTTTTTAGTTTTATGAGGTCCCATTTATCTATGCTATCTCTTAGTTGCTGTGCTGCTGGGGTTTCATTGAGAAAGTTCTTACCTATACCTACTAACTCCAGAGTATTTCCTACTCTTTCTTGTATCAACTTAAGAGTTTGGGGTCTGATATTAAGATCCTTGATCCATTTTGAGTTAATCTTGGTATAGGGTGATATACATGGATCTAGTTTCAGTTTTTTGCAGACTGCTAACCAGTTTTCCCAGCAGTTTTTGTTGAAGAGGCTGCTATTTCTCCATCATATATTTTTAGCTCCTTTGTCAAAGATAAGTTGCTTATAGTTGTGTGGCTTCATATCTGGATCCTCTATTCTGTTCCACTGGTCTTCATGTCTGTTTTTGTGCCAGTACCATGCTGTTTTTATTATTATTGCTTTGTAATATAGTTTGAAGTCAGGTATTGTGATACCTCCTGCATTGTTCTTTTGACTGAGTATTGCCTTGGCTATTCGTGGCCTCTTGTGTTTCCATATAAATTTAACAGTAGATTTTTCAATCTCTTTGATGAATGTCATTGGAATTTTGATGGGAATTGCATTAAACATGTAGATTACCATTCAATGAATTTTGACAAATGCAAATGTAATCCAAATCCCTATTAATATAAGGAACATCATCACACCAGAAAGTTCTGACATGCTCAACTAAACTCTCCCAATTCACCTCACAATTCTGATTTTTATAGCATTTTAAAGGTATAATTGAAACACGTTAACCTATAAGTATTTGAAGTGTGCAATCTGACAATTTTGACATATTAATAAACCCACAAAAATATCACCACAATCAAGACAATAAACATATCCATCAACCCCCAAGGTTTCTCATGTCCCTCTACCATGACTCTCTCCCTCTCCCACAACCCCACACCCAGACAACCACTGATCTGCTTTCTGTTACCATAGGTTAGTTTGCATTTTAAAGTTTTATATACATGGAATCACACATTGCATAAAACATTTGCCTCATCCATGTAGTTCCATGGATTGACAATTCATTCATTTGCACTGTTGAAAACTATTCCAGGGCTGGTGGGGCCACATGACAGTGTCCACCTAGTAAGCCCGAGGCCCTGTGTTCACACCCTAGTGTCATTTAAAAAATAAAATAAAACTCATTATATAGATATCACATAATTTATCCTTTTGCTTGTTAACGGACATTTGAATTGTTGATAAATTTTGGCTATTGTAAATAGGACTGCTATGAACTTTTATGCATAAATTTTTTTTTCTGGTGAACTGAGGGTCTTGCATATGCTAGTCAAGTGCTCTACCACTTGAGCTATGCCAGCAAATGCTTGTGTATAAATCTTTCTACAAACT